CAAACTCATCAAATAATCTCTCATAGCTGGACACTGGATTAACATCTGGAACCCTCTAATCTAAAGCACTTTGGGATACAAGATTATTTTTTTCCCTAAACCCCTGTGGGGCTGGGAAGGGAACCCAGAGACTTCTGCAAGCTAGTGGTCTCTATTATTGAGCTCTATCTCCACCTAGGACACAAATTAGAAAACTGCCTGGGGCCAATCAGAAGAAACAATTCAATAAAGCAAGTAATTTTTATAAACATGAGATTTGGTTTTAAGACTCAATCTGTTTTTCTTTTAKGATTCATAGAAAGCTAAATTTTCATTTTGATTTTTAAGATGTGGCATCTAATTATTTTCTATTATAATAAAACCAACGAACTGTATGCTTTAAAAGGATAAAGTTCATGGTATGTAGATTATCTAGATTAAAAAAAAACTGATAGAATATACAGTTTGCTTTTGCCTAGAAAAAGTTTTTAAAAATTTCATAAGATTCTGATTCAGCAGCCTTCCTCTTCTTTCAATTATTAGTATCTTTGTGTCCCCATGTTGTGAGAAGAAAAAGGTTAAGTTAGAATACTTCTAGCCCATGTACCTGTCTAGCCCATGTACCTGTGACCTATTTGTAACTCATGTACAGAAAAGATAAAAGACTTTGATAAGGGTAGTTATTAAATTAAGTCTGAGGGCTGGGGTTGTGGCTCAGTTGAGCACTTGCCTAACATGTGAGGCCCTGGGTTTGATCCTCAGCACCATGTAAAAATAAATAAATAAAATAAAGGTACTGTGTCCAACTACAACTAAAAAAAATAAATAAATAAACATATATTTAAAAAACTAAGTCTGAGTCCTCAAAAGAAAAAAAAAAGCTATCACCAATTCTGTGCTAACATCTATAGGTCATTTCAGGATAGCAGTATAGTAAAATCAAAAGATAACTGCATTTAACTGCATTGTCATAAAATTCTAACTGAAGGGTAGAACTGTCTACCTATTCTTTTAATTCCACCAAGCTCTATGAACACCACCTAACCTTCCCCTTCCCTCACACCTCCATAAATGCAAAAGAAGTAAAGCATGGTAATCACCTGGTAATAATACCTTTAGAGCAGTGGTTTTCAACCAAGGGTGATTTTGTTTCCTCAGAGACATTTTTGGCAGTTACAGCTAGGTGGGTCCTATTAACATTTAGTAATCATTTTTACTATTAAATGCCCTACAATGCACCAGGTAGTGCCCACAACAAAACATTATCCAGTCCAAAATGTCAAATGGCAATAAGGTCAAAAAAAACCCTGCTCTAYAGCAGTGGTTTTCAAAATGTGGTTCCCACGTCACTAAGGACACATCACCAGGGAACTTGTAAGAAATGCAAAATTGCAGGCCCTAGACCCATAGAATTAGCAACTCTGACCCTGAGCACAAGAGTGAAAACACTCCAGGTAATGTTGATTTAATGCTAATGCATAAGAACCATTTCTGGAGTTGGTAACATTAATAATAAATATGAATACCACTGAAACAAATGCAGTATGAATTAAAACCAAGATTCAAACTTAGGTAGGCTAAAATTAGAAGCTATATTCTGAACTACTATGCTTTATTGACCCTCTCTTTTAGAAATTTCTTTATTTCATTAAAAGATCAAATTTATAGGTAGAATGGAATTAGGCAGAGGAGAAACAATGGAATGGAGGAGATATCACCATAATAATTTTACCCTTCCTAATTCTATACACTACTATGCATTTTATAGGCTTCTAAATAAATAACATGAAATTAATAAGAATATGTTCAGGTTTCTGGATTTCCCAGAAGTGAGGCAAGCCTATATGACGATTCTCTTTCATTTAGCTTCTTGCCATCAACAATGTTTTTCTTAGCACTTTTTAAAGCCTGGGAAAGAGGATGGGGATGTAGGTCAATAGTAGAGAGTGTGCTTACAATTTGGAAGGCACTGGGTTCTACCCCCAGCATTGCAAAACAATACATAAAACCTAGGAAAATGCAATTCATGTACTTCACAAATTAGGCTTAATAGGTGTAATAGACAGGACTGATTTTTTTTTTTTCCCCTAACAGGTAGGAATATATTTTGAATCAGAGGGTGGGGAGACAAGGTAGTGTAGAAATTTCTAAGAACACCCTGCTGAGCTTGCTTGCTGCATAAACTGATTTGGAATTTAAGCTTAAAATGTTTTCCACTAGAAGGATGATACTTTGTCTTTTCATAAGCATTCAGCTTTCAACAAAAATTTGAAACATGTAGTTCTTGATGCACAAGGTTGTCAGCCCAAAGACTGAATCACCAGACTGACTGTCAGTTCTTGGGGCTTCTCTATCACCAACAGCTATCTGTATTTTGCTAGTGTTGCAGCCACCTTCCAGCCTATGGTGTGCTAATAAAACCACACAACCAAGTTGACTAGAAGTTTAATTATTCTAAATGATAGTGCTTTCTTTGAGTGAATTATATAAATTTTCCTTTATATTTGGTTTTGGAGTTGTGTTCAGCATTTGTCTGACCTTCAGATAGAAGTGTTATTAAACTAAACAAACATGTTCAGCTGCCTAAACATTGTTCACATAAATATTTATTCTTCTTACAATGACAGCCAAAAGAGAGCAAACCCAGAATTAAAACTCTACTTTGAAACATTTTAATAAAAAATGTTTTTAAATGTTTGTGAATTTGAGAATAGCACCTAGTGGACCCTACCCTCCAGTTTTGTCAGTGATAATCTCTAGATTATCTTATCTTCTCTAGATCTTTTCTTTGAAGAGGCTTCCAGTGACATTTCAGGAAGTCCATAATACTAAATTCCTTGACATCTCCTGCAGCTGATAAGGTGGATTACCCCTATTTCTGACACTGTATCCAATTCTAAACAGATTGTTTTGTTTGTTTTGGTACCAAGGATTAAACCCAGAGGTGCTTTACCACTGAGTCCAATCATTAGCCTGTTTTTTTTTTTTAATTTAAATTTTAATTTTTTGAGACAGGGTCTCACTAAGTTGCTTAGGGCCTTGCTAAATTGCTGAGGCTAACTTTGAACTTGGGATGCTCCTGTCTCACCTCCCAAGCTGCTGGGATAATAGGAATGCTCCACAGCACCTGACAATTCTCTTAAACTGTAAGGTTCTGTTAGAAGCCCTTCAAATTTGTTCTAACTTTTCCTCTTTTTATAAGCATTCTCCCTCAATTGCACTGTTGTTGTTGTTATTATTTTGCAGATGCTCTTCAAATATATCTCTATACTCATGACTTTTATTTCTAGACTTTAAACTAGATTTTAAACAATGTAGCACCACTTCGGATGCAATGCAATCTGTCTTCCTGCTTCTTTTTCCAGCATTATGGGAGGCTATACTGAGTAGTGACTTGTACAGATCCAACAACTGAAACTCTGAAGATCCCCACCCTTCTGTTTACAAACTCTGTAAATCTTTTTCTTCCACAGAATCAAAGAATCTACTAATTCTTCCCTTTATCTATCTCTCCCCTGACTAGTCAAATCTTGCCCACATCATGCAACTTACCAAAATCCTCTTTTCTAAAACACAACAGTGAAGTCTATCTCCTTGCCTGAAGTTGGAACCATTAGTTGCACATAAATTCTAAATATTATTGCAAACAATCTGAAATCCCAAGAATGGTTTAATAAAAAACTAACAGAATATATCATATTCTACCACTGTATATATTCTGGACTCTAGAGGACATAACTTGATTCATAATGTAGTCAAATTATAAAAATGTTAGACACTACTTTCATTCACTTGTTACAACTAACTCAAGGTGATGCTTCTCAAACCGTTCTAGCAAAATGCCATTGAACAGGAAAGAGTAATGTATATATTCCAGAATTCTTAACTTGTAACCCAAGGCAGCACAACAGAATTCCTTTAATGTGTGTTTTTACCTTTAAAATTAACACAAAGGGCTGAAGGCTGCGGCTGAGTGTAGAGCCCATGCTCAGCATGCAGGAGGCCCTGGGTTCAATCTCCAACACTCAAACCATATATAAATAAATTAAATTATTACAAATACTCTCCTCCATAAATACATTTGTTTTCTTCTAGAAAGGACATTTGATTTCTTTAGCAACAAGTCAAACAAATGCTCCAGAAAGGGGCACTTGGTCTAACCTAGGATTCTGTATACCCCTGTAACCCCCACACCAGAATATGAAACATAGAAGCATAGGTCCAGCTCTTGAARGAAGCTACTGAAGGCACTACTGTTGAAATTAGAATCCAACACTTTTACTTTAATAATTTCAGATTAGAATCCTACAACCTTGTCCCAAAATGTCTTTGAGTTCCACTGATGATTCCCCAAATACCTTCCAGTTTTACTTAAATTTTTATCTTTTATACATTTTATAAGTATCTGCACATGTCTTACTTTCTAATAGCTTAAATGCATAGGGCATCTTGAGTACTCTGCCCCGGGTGCCTCTTCATATTTTTCCTACACTCCCTTAGAAATACTTCTTTTCTTTTCCAGTGGGCAGGGCTCATTCCTCAAGGGGCTRTATTCTATCCTTCGTGAACGTTACAACAAAGGCGAGAAGCAAGCGTCATAACCAGGGGTCCCGAGAGCCCCCAATTGCCAGGGCACCGCTTTGGTGTCCCAAGAAGCTCCAGAGTAGAACGCCAGCGCCGCCTCAGCTGCAAATAACAATCCTAATTACAGTGTCGCCAGCACCCTGTCATTAGCTTCCACCGGGCCGGTTTCCACTCGAAGAACAGCCAACACCTCATCAGGGCAAGTTTCTCTCGGACCCTAGGCCGCGCCTGTCACGATCTGGGTCGCGCCCCGCTGACCCCGGCCGGGCCGCGGGTGCAGTCACAGCCCGCACCGGCGTCCTCAGCTCCGCCCGCCCCAGGCCCCGGATGTGACGGCACCGCCGCCCTCGGCGTTCGACCCCCGGGACTAGCGTGAGGGTACCCCGGAAAGGCGCCCGAGGAGGGGGGTCTTTCATTGGCCCGCCGTCACCACATACCCAAGTGAGAAGGCTCTCGCACAGCTCCACCCGCTCCAACGACTCCACGTTGAACATCTTCCTCTGCTGGGGCTTGGCAGCGCTTCCCCACCTAGCCAGAAACCGCCGCCGCTCGGCCTGGGGTTGGTCCGGAGGGTCCGGGCAGCTGACCGGGCCTCTGGCCCACCTCCTTTGCGCTGCCTGGCCGCCTAACACTCGCCGGCAGTGGCAGTGGGTCCCGCACCGTCACCCCCGTGCCCCTCCTTCTCCTTTCACTCGGGACTGCGCGCCGCCGCGAGCCCACGACCACGCCCGCCAACCCGCGTCCCCGCCCCCGGCCGCCTCCACCCGCCTCCAGCGAGCTCCGCTGCCGGCGAGCGCCGCGGCGGCGAGCCACTGCGCACAATCGAATTGCACTCCGCCCGCGCGCCCCGACGCTGGCCGCAGCGTGCCCGACGCGCACGCGCCCGGCCTGCGGCGCGGGTCTTCCTCGCCTGCCAGCCCGCTGGCGCCGTCACGGAAGCTTAGCAGTGCGCGTGCGCCTGCGCCCGCATTTCAGATTGTAAAGGGGACGGCTGGTGGTTTCCCTGGAGGGGTGGCGGGGGCATTCCCCGGAAATAATCTTTAATCTCTGCCACCAGGAATTGGCGAGGTAGTCCCCTGCGGTGGAGAGGTACGCGCCCCCACTTCCCGACACGAGTGCGTCTTCGGCCACGCCCCCGAACCCAGGCCCTTGGATGCGCGGGGTCGTCTCTGGGCTGCGCGYGGGAGTCGCTGCCCGCGGGCCAGGGAAGCCCTGGCCGGGTCCGGAGCCGCTCGGCAATGGTGGGAAGGCTAGGTGGAGGGCTTCTGGGTGAYTTTAAGTGGGTTTGGCCCTCCCTGAGGGGAGCCATTCGTTCTCTATTGGGTCTCTTGGAGCCTCGATTCCCCGAAAACTTTACTTGCAGTCAGAGAGGGTGGACACTAGTTCACCTATCCTTAAGGACTGCAACAGTGCTTAGGCCCTGTTTCTTCTGGTGTTCAGAGTAGGCTTCCCTTATAATGAAGAGTAAATTATTATCGCCCTTACAGACGCACCATYCTCCATAGGTATACGGATACATTTTAAAGCAATTTAGTTATATGCAGAAACTTGCGTGACATACATGTTTAAGGGCTAATGAATGAAACACTCAGCATTGCCAGCTCTYCAGGAGTTTCTTCGCCCACACCTATGTGTTCTTAGCGTAATTCCATCCCAATAATTTTACCACCTATGTATGCATGCAGTTTGGTTCTTCTTTGTCTGATTTTTGAACTTATATGAATGGAATCATATCCCGTTATTTTGTGACTTTCAATTAATATTAAATTTGTCATTATATAAGGTAATTTTCATCATTGGTATTGGGTGAATTTAGCAGTGTATCCAATCTGGTGTTGGACATTTTGTTGAGGTTTGAGGCTGCTCAGAACAATTGCTATAAAAATACGTGGACTCCATGCAAAGGTGCTGGAGTTTCTAAGACACAAACCTTGAGGTCCTGAAAGAATTGTAAATTCACAGGGTGTGCATAGATACTATATAATACAAAACTTTTATTTATAATGGTGCAAAATTAACTTCCCAAGACACATTTTCATTTTGTTTCCTGGAGTCCACGCCCCACCCCCTTCCCATTAATAAGCCCTTGCCTAGCATGTGTAGGCTGTGGGTTCAGTCCCCAGTATTGCAGGTGACTAGGAGGGGGTAGCGGGGAGAGGGGGAGGAGTATATATTCTCAGCACTGAGAACTGTCAAGATATTATTGAGTTTTTAATGATGGCTCTCAGATTACTAGCTAACTGCTCACACATGATGTGTGAGGGGGTACCAGAGATTGAAATCAGGTGTGCTTAACTACCGAGCCACATCTCCCAGCCGCTTCTTTCTTTTTATTTTGGACACGGGGTCTTGTTAAGTTCCTTAGGGCCTCACTCAGTTGCTGAGGCTGGCTTTGAACCTCATCCCTTCCAGCCTCTGGAATAACAGTCATAACGCCCATCTCCACCTGAAGGCTTCTCAGTGGTCTTTCTTGCAAACATTCCTCCTTACACCAAGCGGGGAAAGCTTTTAGAAATTAAAGTGTGAATCTTTTTTGCTTTTGGTTCCTGTGTTGTTACCTCAGAATCTTTGTCAAACCAGAATTCCTTCATTCCATACTAAGTTGCTTCTGTAGATTACTAGTTACTGTAAGTGACTATGCCCTTTTAGACAAGTAAATAAACTCAGTAAGTATATGTTGTGCTGACTTTATGCACCTTGYCTTTGGATGTGACCATTGGTCCTGTCCCTGCTGGAGGGACTATGATATTGTAGTAAGCACCTTTATTCCAAGTGTTCAGGTTTTCAAGGCTTTGACATAATTGATCTAAAGCCTCCTTTTCCAAGCTTGACTGCTTACCCACATTGCTTTTCTGCATGATATTGCAGTGTTTTGAGATTTTATTTCATAGTTCCACTTAGCCTTTATGAAAATTTTATTAAAAGCTTATTGAATGAGTAATTGAAGAAGCCATAAGGCCATCACATTTCTATATGAACATGAAACCCTGAGTTTCTCCTTTGTTTCAAGAAGTTCTAGAATTTCCTATTTTCTCCTTATTATTGTGGTTTGTTTGGTTGGTTTTTGGTTTTGGTTTTTATTTTTCTCTCTTCCCTGAAGCTCAGGGAAAAGGCTCAGGAGAGGTGAATTGAACTTGTCTTAGCTGTCTTCCTATTCTGGCTAAATGGAAGCTAGTTGTCTTCTGTAGATGTTTATCGGATTCAGTGAACATGGTAGTGGCCCGTATGGTGGTGKTCCCAAATTCATCCAGTTTTCCCCAGAGAACAGATACTTAGAACTTTAATTAAAGAGATGTTGAGATGCTTAATAGTATTGAGTTTTTAATAATGGCTTGCAGAAGATTACTAGCTAACTGTTTACATATGATGATTTATCATTATTTTGTAAATGTAAGAAAATACTACTTGCCCCTTGAAGTCTTTTTTTTTTTTTTTTTTTTTGGTACCAGAGATTTAACTCAGTTGTGCTTAACCACTGAGTCACATCTCCCAGCCCCTTCTTATTTTTTTCTGGAGACAAGGTCTTGCTAAGTTACTTAGGACCTCTTTTGCAATATTACAAGACACAACTTTTATCATCATTCTGCTGATTCCTTGGCAGTTACTAAAGGTAATCAAAATGTTATGTCTTTCATTTTCTAAGAACCTGTAAATTGTGCTCAGCAATATGTTAAGTGCTTTATCTTTATATTCTCATAGTAAATTTCACAAGGTTACACTTTTTAATTTTTGTCCAAAATAGCAGTTTGATGTGATTCAACCTAATTTTATGCATTTTATATATGAGAACGCTGAGACTCAGGCTTTACATAAGTACATAGTTGTCTGGCTCCAAAGCTTATGCTTTCTTTGCTATATTAAGCTACTATTCAGTAAGATTTCGATAGCTAAGCAATAGCAAAGCCAGTTCCTCTTCAGACTTCTATCAGTTATACCTTCCAAGACCTATGGTATTTTGTTTTTGTAAATACTCAGAAACAGAATACTAATAACTTTATTTTCGTATTGCACAGGATCCTATGAAGTAAATTAAAGGTCATGTTCCATACATTTAATAATCTTGTTTCTGGGTTTCAAGTAATCAACATTTAATTGCCCCTATACCATSTAAGATCTGCACTACTCAAGGTTCTTGAATGAAAGGAGTTCATAACACAAAGATCTTAGCAATTGACATGCCCTATAGTCCATTTGGGTACCTCCATTTGCCCTTCAGGGATGTCTTAGAAAACATCATCAGGAAATAAAATAACTAACTAGGTGATAAGAATGGGTATAGAGCAGGGTGTGGTGATGCACGCCTGTAATCCCCGTGGTTTAGAAGGCTAAGGCAGGAAGATTGCAAATTCAAAGCCAGCCTTAGCAATTTAGCAAGCACTAAGCAACTCTGTGAGACCCTGTCTCTAAATAAAATACAAAATAGGGCTGTGGTAGAGTGCCCCAGAGTTCTATCTCTGGTATCAAGAAGGAACTTTGAGGCCTAATTTGCATCTCAATGGAAGAGGCAGATACTGGCTTTGTTTTTACTCTTAAAGTAATACATACTTAAGAAGGATTTAAAATATAGAACCATATCCTGGGGAAGATGATGGTTTGGCCCTTCCCTTTCAGCACCCCCAATGAATAACCACTTTAAACTTGGGTTTTTATCTTGCCCAACTTTTTGCTTTGCTTTTTTTTTTTTTTTTGGTCCTAAGGATAGAACTCAAGACCTCATTTATAACATCTTGTAGTACCATTGAGCTACAGCCCTAGCCTGTGACTTTTTCCTATTCTGAAAACTGAAAAATGTTTTGGTGAAAGAAACTGAAGAAACCATCTAGTCCAACTTTAACACTTGCAGAAAAGGCGAGGTCCTGGGAGATGGTGGGGTCTCCTCAGCAGAACTGGAACTAAAATCCAGGCTATTAATATCCAAGCAGCAAAATGGGCTTCAATTAAGAAACTGCGATGTCAGATAGAATTGCCTTACAATATTGTTCTAAACCAGCATTGACTATGAAAAACAGAAGTTGGAGAACTGTAATCCAGATTGATTTTGGAATTCATCTTTAAGACTGAGTTATTATGTCAACTTGAGTAGGAAATTGTGATCTTTTTGTATTGTTTATCTCCTATTCTCTTAAATCAGACCATCCTCTTTCCAAACTGAGGTTGTAGTATAGTACCTTATTTTATCTGATTTTAGGGCTCTTGATTCCTTTTTAACTCTAATCAAGCTATGACAAAGTATTATATGGTCCCTCAACATAGACCTAATACCATTAGTAGATCTCCATGTGACAGAGTACACTTTTTTTTTGTTCTCTCAACAATGTTGGAGTCTGCTGTAAAATGATGCATATAATGTTATATGTTATAATATAAATACCTAAAGTATCCTGGATCTCTGAGCTGTTGAAGTATGTAGGAAGTAATATCTTAAGGGTTTAATTGCATAGAAGTCAAATTATGGACAGGATATATACATGTACACTAGAATTTAATCACATTATCACTGATTACACATGGAAAGACAGGGAAACAAATATAAGGCATCTTTTTTCTTTTTTCTGCATCCCAGGGATTGAATTTAGGGCTTTGCACATAGTAGGTAAGCTTTTTTTTTTAACTACTAAGTAGTAGGCCGCCTAAATGTATAACATAGGAGAAAATATGAGTAATATAATTATAGTATATTTGTTGGTGCACTTAACTTGCAAAGCACTTTTGCCTCTGTTTAATTTGGTTGAA